AGTTTAAATGTGAGATTGAGAAACTGATGTGACTCCATTTTTGAGAAACCAGCCTCTACCTCAGAGCAAAGCTTGTCCAAGGAAGGGGGTGTGACCCTTGTCCTTGGAAAAACCCGCAGAGCACTCCTAGGCACATACCCACCCTGCTGAGTTGTTTTTCTGCAAATAACAGGAGAGGTCTGCGGAGCCAGGTGTCCCTGACTCAGTCAGGCTAGGTGAGGACCCATAGCAACCCCCTAGCAACCACCAATCAGCATGAGACAGGGAAAATACCTGGGATGCCAGATGACCCCCCAGTAGTTTATGGTGATTGATAACATGTTAGGAAACCATATAGTTCAGCATGTACACCCCTCCCAGCTTAAACGAATCAGTTCAAATGAATCCCCCTCTTGTACTAACCAATCACCCCTACCCAACTTGTTCCCACCAGTGAATGTGCTAATCAATGTTAAGAGTTGTTGTTTGACTTTCCCTCGGTATGAAATGATTTGCTGTGTGATGTTGTGATGCATAGAGTATCCAAAAAAAAACTATAAATCCTCACTGAACATAGGACTGGGACTCACTCCTGGGGACCGCTGTGTCAGAAACTATCGTGAGTCCAGGCTCGAGCTTGCAATAAAGACTCTTGTGTGATTGCATCGGATTAGGCTCCTGGAGGTCTATTGGGGTTCCATGAATCTGGCATTACAAGGTGTCCTCCCAAAGCTCATGTGTGAGACAATGCAAGAAGGTTTGGAGGTGAAATGATTGGCTTATGAGAGCTTTAACTCAATCAGCAAATTAATCCCCTGATAGGGATTAACTGAGTGGTAACTGGGCAGGTAGGTTGTGGCTAGAGGAGGTGAATCTTTGGGGATGTACCTTGGGATTTGTATATTGCCCTTGTTTAACAGAGTTCTCTCTCTGCTCCTCAGTGGCCATGTCCTGGCCTGCTCTTCTTCATCACACCCTCCCACCATGATATTCTGCCCCACCTCACCACCACCACTCCCCTGAATGGAATCAGGAGTCTATGGGTGAAGAAACTGTGAGACCAAATTAAACTTTTCCTCCTCTACATTATTCTTGTCAGGTCTTTTGGTCACAACAGCAAAAAAAGCTGACTAAAACACTAGTGTACCAAGAAAAGGACTAGACAGGCAATTGCTTGCAGATATTTTCTCCTACATGTGGTGCATACTTAGCATATCTCCTTTGCATAACAAAGTGTCCTGTAAATTTATGGTTCAAGGGGTGGCAAAGTGTAGGGAAGCATTAATTGCATAGATGGGGTTTAATTAAAAAAGCATACTAAAATATTGTGTGCAAATTTTAATTTTCATTTTTTAAAAAATATTTTTAGTTGTAGTTGGACACAATACCTTTATTTTAATTTATTTATTTTTATGTGGTGCTGAGGACACGTGCTAGGCGAGTGCTCTACTGCTGAGCCACAACCCCAGCCCCTGTTTGCAAATTTTTTAATAGTGAGGTAGGTACATGGACCAGCAGTTTTATCTATAGAATGTGTGGTAGTGGATATTTTCTTCCAGAATTTGGTTAATATAATCTGACAAAATGGTCTTCAGATGATAGGCACTGAACATAAAAACTATTATATACAGGGCTTTGACATGATTACCAGAGTCACAAAAAGTATGATCACAGGCAAGTTGATGGGATATATCTGGGAATACCTCTTTGAAAAATGGAATGACTACATCAACCAGGGATTTGGAATATTCACTTTTTGAGAAAAGTCATTTCCACTATAAAAATTCAAAGGGAACACAAAATCAGACCATTATGCATTCCAATGAGGGCTGAACAACTACAGAATGCCCAAGGAAGATCCTTTCTCAAAAAGCCTAGGGTGCTTTTGTCAAGCCCACAGACATATTTAATTCCCCAATTCTGGCTATATTCATGGCATGCAAGTGAAAACTTTTTTTTTCTTTTGGTACAGGGGAATCGAGCTCAGGGGCACTCAACCACTGACCCATATCCCCAGCCCTATTTTGAATTTTACTTAGAGACAGGGTCTCACTGAGTTGCTTAGCACCTTGCCTTTGCTGAGACTGGCTTTGAATTTGTGATCCTCCTATCTCAGCCTCCCAAACCACTGGGATTACAGTGCCACTGCACCCAGCTGCAAGTGAAAACTCTGATAAAGCTGCCTATTTCTTGTGGTACAAGTTAAGCACTCTCATCTTTATCTGAGTTGCTCTAAGCCAAGGTAGTAATGCTAGGGGACAGGCAGATGTGAGTGGTTAAGGGAATAATTCCATAAAATAGGCTCATTATTCTGACCCTCACATGCTTTCTTTTACAAAAAGCAATTTATCTGCAGCCCTGCCTGGCTTAAATGGACATGTTATGTTATATTCTCCAGCAAGCTACCTGTTATCTGCAGGAGAAATGTAGAACCAAAATAATGTTGGTAAGAGAAACCTAAGTTATGCTGAAGGGGGAAATTTTGTGACTCCTTTTATAGACCAGATTCCAAAATTCAAGGAAATAAGGAATTCCTCCTAACCATAAAATCTGTAAGAATTTACAGTTAAGAATCCAATTAGAACCCATCAGCATGGACCAAAGTGGGGAACTGAAAGTCATCTGATGTCATCCTGCTGTCAATCAAAAGTCAAGAGGTATACCGGGAAACTTCTCTGGGATTCCCCAATCAAACTGGAGTGCAGGAGAGGCATGCTGTCCCTTTCATTTCTGAGAGGACCCACTCTATCCCTTGAGAGTGTTCCCTTTTCCTATTTTCCATCCCTTTTTTTTTTACAGCCTCTAAGTCATCATTTATTGATTTATAGAGCACCCATCACATGATTGAGGTGCTTTACAATACAGTAAACATCACAACAGAACTCACATAGTTAAATACAATCAACAAATTACAGAACTAAAAAAAAAAACTGGAATGAAGCAATATTATGTCAAATTTCAAAGATGCTGAGAAGCGGCAGTACAAAAAAGGTAATTCCACCAACTAGAGACCAGACGGGCAAAGATACACAGGCATCACAACCCGAGGTGGGCAGATTTGTAAAGGGTGAACGAGCATATAAAATAAAATTTCACAACTGGGAATGAAGGCCATTAAAGATACTATGTCATCCAAGTGATCACAGAACCAGTGGAATGACCTCACAAATATATTTACCTTACAATGACAAGAAAATCAACCGCATATGGATTTTAAACTCAGAGTCCAGAAAGCCACTGAGATCATCCTTTCTGTTATGAACACAGGCTAAAATCTACAAGTTTCTCAAAAAACTTGGAATAAATTTAGTAAGAGCCAACAGTTCTACACCCAAAGGACTATGCAGATATTAATGGTTGGCACAAAGTTGGGGGTTGAGGGGGGGGTCCTTTTCCTAAAGCAGAGAAGAATCACCTCACACTAATGATGAGGCACTGGTGGGACAAAAGCCACCTAGTTCAGTGTCACCTGAGTGATTTAGATAACAAACGTAGAGGCATTTAAATTCACGGTCAGATGAACACTGGGAAAGGCACAGATGACATCTCTGACAGAGGAAAAGGAATCCTCCATCTATCAAGGCCTGTGTTTCAGTTTGTAGTATGGTGAGGGGACATAGTTGGAACGAGTATGAGGAAGAGAGGCACTCACTCCTGCCTCTCCTATTCCCCTACATCCAGCCCTAAAAAACCACCCAGTCATACCAACATAACTGCATTAAAGTGGCACTTAAAGTTTTGTTCAGAAACAGTTGTCCCTGAGTTACTAGGTCATTTGCTACTTATTGAGCAGTCAAATCCCAGGTTTTAACTCAACAGATTGCTAGTGGAATTATAGCAATAAGAGCAAAATTCCAACTCCACAAGCAACCACTATGTGGACGATTTCTGACTTAAGAGTGAAGGAGATTGCATTCAAAGTCCCTAGTAGGAGTGCAGTCTAGCTAGCACTTTGGGGCAACAATTTTTACAAAGTCTCTGGGAAAGACAAAAGTCATTAAGTTCTTGAAGAAAATTGGGCTCCAATGAATCAAATCAATTTTTATAGTCACTGAACATGTAAGGGTTTTTAATAATATTTATGGGTTTCTACAATACTTGAATGAAGAACAGACTGGGATTTATAAAAATCACTCTTTACTGGGACTACATCTGTAACCACTTTACCTCTGCTTTAAAAAAAAAAAAAACCTGACAAACTGGTAGAGGTCTACATTACTGACAGGATTCCTTTCACTCTTCTGCCAAAGCATTTCTCCAAACCCCACAGAGGAGGGATGCACCAATTTTCACTGATTCTGGCAGTCATATGCCATACCCGATCTGGTACTGTCTCAAGTTCTATCCCTTATATGCCAAAGATTGCTTCTCACTCTCAACCTCACAATAAATAGAGAGAAGCCTAGGACTGTCTAACAGTGCACATGCTCATTTCACCAATTGCTAAAGTTTAGAAAATTTTATGATATGAAATATACTTATGCTCATAATCAAATCCAAGTGTCATACATAAGTGACAGAATCTGCATGTCAAATACTTTTAGACTCACATAAGAATCCAGATAAAACCCAATACTTACACTGCCATGGCCATGTGATTTTCAAGTATTAAGTTTGTTTGCATAAGGAATCAACCTGAGATTTTTCTAAACTGCACTTCTCTGGCATTCAGTATTATAACCTTCATTCAATACAATAAAAGCCAACAACTTGACAATTATTGGAAAAAAATTATATTTTGGAAGAACTCACTACATAAGGTGACAGAATTCCAAAATCAAATTACATGAAAATATACATCGCAATTTCTTTGTACAATAGGTGAGAAAAATCTCTAGTATTGAAGAATAGAGACAAAGAAATATGAAGGATTAACGAGGATATAAGGGCAAATAGCATTCTTAATAGCAAACCAAGAAGTAAAAAGCTTGTAGTTGTGCATGCTTTATTTATCCAAACTTAACATTAAGTCAACTGAAGGGCAAAAATAAAACCAAATCAGAATTTTGTATTATTTGGGGTAAATTTCAGTAAGTTGAATTTAGAACCAACTTTTTTTTTTTAAGTTCTTGGGATAATGTCTAGGTTCAAGAGCTCTCAACAGCCAGAAAATGTTATTGCTACATCCAATCCAAGAGATGGGTGCAACTAGAATACAAAAAGACAAAGCACCTAGTGATGACCACTCCTCTGAAGTCATCATTAAAAATCAAGTAATTGCTTATTAAGTATTTCAGTATTTGAACTAAATCATCTGAGAACTTTCTGGCAGATAGAAGAGATAAAAGCAAAGGGGACTGTCAAAACAAAGAAGATACAAAAGTTTAGTAAGTGACAAGGGTTTAATGAAGCCTCAATGGTTTAAAGGAAATTAAATGGAAACTTTTAATCCTAATTGCTTTTCATCTGACATGCTTTAAGGAGTCTTTTTAAACTGATAAGAAACAATGAATAGGGAAAGAAAACCTGCTAAAATCTTTTTAGAATTTACACGATTCTTATTCTACTACAAGAAAGCATTATTTGGTACAAGGTGTATTTGTGGATGTACATGAACAGTATATATATTATCCGGATCATGTTGTGCTATGTACACGTCTTTACAATTCTTCCTGAAGGTTAAAACAGTTCATGAGAATTCAAAATGCGTAATCATCTGTAAGTTGGCACTTGTTAGGCTCTTGTCAGCATTGATAACTGGCATGTTTTATTGCAGCCCAGTTCCAGCCAGTGTTTTGCCAACTTGTTACAACAGAAGTCCAGCAATATAGGTGGGTAGAGTGCAGGAAAAACAGTGCCATGTTTCTCAATTGAAGACCCTGAAATAAGTGAAATTACTAGCTGCTGAATAAATGTCACTCAAAAGCAGTCTCTTGGCTTTTTCTTACACAGCGTGCAACTTTCCTTTTAAATTCTCCGTTTCTGTCTTCCCTCCATTCTTTCGCAGCATCGACATTAGCAGGTGAATCTCCATTAGGGTCTGCCAGCATAGAAATGACACTAATCATGATGGTTTCCACAGTGTGGATAGGAAGCCAGCATTCCTCTGGCTTTTCATAACCATATTTATCCTCCCCAGGCTCATGAAGAATAGAAATGCAAACATCACCATTTTTATCAACATTTGGGTGCCAGATTTCTGTAATGAATTTCATTTTAGGAGGCCAGAGGGGATAATCTTTTGGGAAAGTGAGATGAGCCTTAAAAACACCACCTTCATAAAGTGTGTCTGGAGAACCAATAATAAGGACTTCCCATCGATAGAGACCATTGTCATCTATTAAACCTGCTGAAAAGCCTTCCACTGGATTTTTGTTGAGTTCATGTAACAGGAAAATGTAATAGAGAATCACACCAAGACCGAGATATATCCTGATGAAGTTACTGAACTTCAAGGATAAAGAAAGAATTCTACCAATACCCAGGCAGAAGTAGGTCACCTGCCAGCTGTCTTCGCAGTAGCAGCGCCGACTGCAGCTCCGTCATCCTCCCCGCCAAGGGCCCGGGCTGGCGCCGGGGCTTCCGAAGGGTTAGGGACAGGCTCTGGGGGCGGCTGGAGCTGGATGTGCTGAGGAACACGGGCCCCGCGACCGGATCGCGGAAGCCAAGGGAGGCCGGGCTCGGGCAGCGAGAGCCGCACCTCGCCGGTGCGGTTCCACTCGGTTCGACTCTTCTCACAGCGCCTCCTCCATCCCTTCTAATAACTCATTGCCTGTTACTTTGAGTGACATGTCTGAAATCTTTCTGCTTTGATCCCAAGAATCAGTATTTGATGCGGGAGAGGGTCTTCATGCTACCTCAGTTTCCTGGAAAGCCCCAGCCCTGTAAAAGTAACCCCTCACTGGAATCTCAGAATGAGAATCTAAGTAGTCTCGATGATGGTAAAAACCATCTTTTCATTTTCATTCTCACAGTTTACCTCAACCAATACTAGTTTACTGATGAAGATATGACTTCATATATTGTCAGGGTATGTGATGGTGACTTGCAGAGTAAATCTTTAATATTTCTTCATGGTAAATCCTGAGACTATGAAATTCCAAATTTGACAAAACTACTAGAGCATATAATTTCCCCTACAGGGTGAAAACAAAAATCACACAGGGAACAATAAAATGATGCCCATGCAGATGCTAGGCTGTTGCTTAAGGAAACTCACTAAGCAGAAGTCCTACATGCTAGTAGATGCCTCAGGAAAATTTCAAATTACATACATTAGCCTAATGTGGTGGCACATACCTGTATACCCACCAACTCAAGAGCCTGAAGCATGAAGATTGCAAGCTCAAGGCCAGCCTCAATGTAGTAAGATCCTCAGGAACTTAGTGAGTCAAAATTAAAACAAAAAACACAACGCTGGGTTCAATCCCCAGCAACAAAACAATACAAAAAATTACTACACATCATGAACCCATAATCATAAACATTAAATCTTCAAATTCCAAAAATTTACTATACTGTGGCTTTCCATATAATAGAAGGTTATACCATTATCCCTCATGGGGGATTGGTTCCGGAACCCCCCTGCAGCTACAAAAATCTGTGAGTGCTCAAGTCCCTTTCACAAAATGGCATAGCATTTGCATACAACCTACATACATATTCCCATAGATAAACTTGAATCATCTCCATATTATTTATAATACCTAATGCAATGTAAAAACAACAAGAGTTGTTTTATTGTTTAGAAAATAATAGATGAAACATCTTTGTGTTTTGTACAGACATAATCCTTTTTTTGTTTTTGGAACCAGTGATCAAGCTCAGGGGCACTCTACCATTGAGGCACATCCCCAGCCCTATTTTGAATTTTATTTAGAGACAGGATCTCACTGAGTTGCTTAGCAAGGCTGGCTTTGAACTCCCTAGCCACCTGCCTCAGCCTCCCAAGCTGCTGGATTACAGGCATGTGCCACCACGCCTGGCTAAACATAATTCTTTAATTGATATTTTCTACCTGTGATGATTTGAATCTATAGATGTGGAACCCACGGGTACAGAAAGTTGACTGTATGTTTTCATAATGTGGAATCACTATGATTAGCCAGGATCAGGGTAGAGGTGACAAATTTGGGGGGCATCTTAGAATTCAGTATCCACGGAGACTATCATGCTAGTGAAATAAACCAATCCCCAAAAATCAAAGGCCTAATGTTCTCTCTAATAAACTAACACACAATAAGTGGGTGGGGATGGAAGAATAGAAGTTCACTGGATTAGACAAGAGGGAATGAAGGAAAGTATTGGGGGATGGGAATAGGAAAGACAGTACAATTAATCAGTCATAACTTTCCTATATTCATATATGAATACACGACCAATGTAACTCCACATCATATACAACCACAGAATGGGAAGTTATATTGCATGTATGTATATTAAAATACATTCTACTGTCATGCGTATCTAAAAAAACAAACAAAACATTTTTAAAAATTAGTATCCATTCATTTAAGTGGGTTCTTGTGACAAAATGAACCATTTACATTCACACTTTATTGAATATTAAAAAGACTTTAAGCCAGATGGGATGACCCACACCTGTAATCCCAGCAAATCCAGAGTCTGAGGGAAGAGAATCACAAGTTTGAAGCTGGTCTCAGCAACTTAGTGAGGCCCTAAGCAACTTACCAAGACCTTGTCTCAAAACAAAACAAACAAAGAAGAAGATAACTCTGAAGCCAGTTTGGCATTTCACTTTACTTCCTAAGAATTTCAATTAACTCAAATTTTACTGTGTACATGCAGGGATTCATGTCCTACTTATCTTAATGTATTTGCTGACCACTCCATAATATCATAACAATATCACATTTTAAAAATAATATCACCAGGTGCAGTGGTGCACACCTATAATCCTAGCAATTCAGGAGGCTGAGGAACAAGGATTGCAAGATCAAAGCCAGCCCCAGAAACTTAGTGAGGCACTAAGCAACAGAGTGAAACCCTGTCTCTAAATAAAATGCAAAAAAAGAAAGGACTGGGGATGTGGCTCAGTGGTTAAGCACCCTTGGGTTCATCCCTGGTACCAAAATAATAACAATAATAAAGAAATATTATTTAATATTTATTTATTATAATATAATAATAAATATTTCTAAATTAAAATTAATTTAAAAAAATAAAGATAATGTCTGCTGTACACAGGGATCCTTGCCTGTAATCCAAGCAACTTGGGAGGCTGAGGCAGGAGGATCGCAAGTTCAAGGCCAGTCTCATCAACATAGCAAGGTAACTTAGGGAGACCTGTTTCAAAATAAAAAACAAAAAGGATGAGGCTCAGTGGTAAAGCACCCCTGGTTACATTCCCCAGTGCAAAAAACAAATAACAAAAATTAAAAATTAAAATAAAAGATCTGAGAACTTACCATATGGGGAAAGAAGAAAGAGTAAAATAGGGTACTTACTAAATGCAATATGGGCCAGGTGTGGTGGTGTACACTAATTCCAGTGACCCAGAAGTATCACAAGTTCAAGGTCAGCCTGAGCAATGTAGCAAGATCCTGTCTCAAAATAAGTGAAAAAGGGCTGAAGATGTAGCTCAGGGGTAAAATACCTTTGGATTTTATCCCCAGTAACAGAAAAAAAGAAGAAAAGTCAGGAGAATATGAATATATTCAGCAATTGAAGACCTGGATGAGGTCAAACAGATGGTAGTAGGAGAAAGAGTTACAAGAATGGGACAGATTGAGAGCTGGGGCTGTGGCTCAGTAATAGAGCGCTTGCCTAGCACATGTGAGGCCCTGGGTTTGATCTTTAGCATCACATAAAAATAAATAAATAAAATAAAGGCATGGTGTCCATCTATAACTAAAAAATATTTTTAAAAAAGAATGGGACATTCATAAAACAAAGGCTATAGTCAAAAACATAGGTAATAAAGCTTAAATTCCTAGGGTGGGGGTTTTTGGTATTGAACCCAGGAGCACTTTACCACTGAGCTACATCCCCAGGCCTTTTTTTTTTTTTTTGGTTTTGTTGTTGGACACAATACCTTTCTTTCTTTATTTTTAGGTGGTGCTGAGGAGCAAACCCAGTGGCTCACACATGCCAAGCAAGCACTTTACCACTGAGTGACAACCCCAGCTCCCCCAGTCCTTTTTCTTTGAGACAAGTTCTAAGTTGCTTAGGGCCTCAATAAGTTGCTGAGGCTGGTTTTGAACTTGTGATCCTTCTGCCTTAGCCTCCCAAGTTGCTGGGATTATAGGCATGCATCGCTGTGTATGGCTTAAATTTTTTGATGAGAAATAATGATTGGTGAATGACCCAGGGTACAACCATGGATGTCTCTAGAAATGAGGAGTCAAAGGAAGGCTGACTTTTTTTTTTTCTTTTTTTTTTTTTTTTTTTTTTTGGTACCAGGGATTGAACTCAGGGGCACTCGACCACTTAGTCACATCCCCAGCCCTCTTTTGTATTTTATTTAGATACAGGGTCTCACTGAGTTGCATAGCACCTCGCTTTTTTGCTGAGGTTGGCTCTGAACTTGTGATCCTCTTTCCTCTTGCCTCAGCCTCCTGAGCCGCTGGGATTACAGGCGTGTGCAGCCGTGCACAGCAATGGAAGGCTGACTTTTACTGGGCAGATGAGTATACCAACCTGCTCTTTTCTAAAACAGGAGGAATGGGTTTAGAAGCAAAAACAATGAGATCAGTTTTAGACTGTGTCAAATTTGTGGTTCCTATAGGTTGTCCCTGTGAAAGCATCCTATAAGCAACCAAATATAAATATCCTGTGTTCGTGAAAGAAATTTGGACTACACAGGTGAATTTGAGAGCCATCATCCCTGGATGGAAGTCAAAGTCAAATTAATGAAAGAGATTACCTCTGTAGCATTTTTATCTCTCTCTCTCAAGTACTGGTGATTGAACTCAGGGCCCCCTTCACACATGGCTAGGCAAGCTCTCTGCCACTGAGCTACATCTATAGCACAACTCTGTGCTCTGTATTAGTATTTTTCTGTTGGTTAATGGTTCTGATTTGTTTTTTTTGTTGAACTGTTTCCCATATTCCTCTCGACAAAAAAGTTATTCAAGTGTCTCCACTGTGCCAGCTGCTGGGAAAACAATGGTGAAAAGCCTTCTCTATTGCTTCTGTGACCTCTACTTACTTACCTTCCATTATGTTTTACAGTATAAACTTATTCTCCTGTTTAGAATACAAGCTTCCTGAGAACAGAGACCTGTGTCTTATTCTCTGCTGTATTCACAGGGATTAAACAGTGCATGAAACAAAGAAGAATCTCCAAAAGCATATGTTAATGAATAAAAAAGTCCAAAGTTTGACATACAAGGCTGACTGGTAAATTCTTATAAACCAATATAATAAACAGCACAGAAATCACTACTGTTCTAGTTAGATTTATTTTCAACTTCTTAATGAAACCAAAAAACAAGAAGCAAGCAGAAAATAATGTTGACTCCACCTCACCCCATTTAAGATGACTACTATCAAATGCAAAATAAAAAATAAGAAGTGTTGATGAGGAGAAATCAGAAGACTTGTGCACTGTTGGTGGAAATGTAAAGTAGTACAGTTGCTATGGAAAACAATATCATGGTTCCTCAAAAAAATTTAAATAGAATTACCATATGACCCAGCAATTCCACTTCTACCCATTTTATACCCAAAGAATTGAAAGCAAGGTCTGAAAGAGATACTTGAACACCCATGTTCATAGGCACATTATTTATATTCCACCCAAAAGTGAAATCAACCTGAGTCCACAGAAGAACAACAGGATCAACAAAATGTAAAATATACATACAATATAATATTATTAGCCTTTAGAAAGGAAAGAAATTCTGACACATACTAAAATATGGATGAACCTTGAGAATATTATACTAAGGTAAATGTCAATCCCCAAAACACAAATACTGTATGGTTCTGTTATGGGAAGCTGCTTCAGAAAACACTCTTAAGTCCGAATTCAAATCAATGAGAGCTTTATTTACCTGGCCAGGGACTGTCACCCACCCAAAGAGACTGAAGCTCTGTAGGAGAACAACAGCTTCCTGGTCCATTTTTTGAGAATTTATGGACAAAAACCACAACTCAGTGGCTAATTTTCCAGTTAGCAAGCAAGCAAATACAGAAGCTAGAGAAAAGCAATTAGCTTTGCAATTCCTGGATTCAAGCAGGTGCTAGGCAAGAGTATCCTGAGTTTGAGCAGGGGTTGGCAGGGGCGAGAATCTATTTCAAAGTCATATAGACCCACAAGTGCACTCAAACCCAGGATGTAACTCACCACACCACCGCTGCATCCTGAGTGTGATACAATTTGTTATAAGAAAACAGGTTTCATTTTGGTTTCTCAGAAGCAGATTTGTATAGAAGGCAATAAAATGGAGTCTTAAGCCTGTCTATGACAGTTCTTGCTTTATAATGGTCTTATCTCACTTATCATATCTATAATCTATATTTTTTTACTAATCTATAACCTATAACTTACACTCTTACTGATTTTATTTATTAGTTTACACCACAACAATTCCACTTACCTGAGGTACTTAAGACTAGTCAGATTTACACAAACAGAAAGTAGAATAGTAATTGACAGGAGCTTAGAGAGAAGAAAGAGAATTGCTTAATAGCTATAGAGTTCCAATTTTGCAAGATGGAAGCGTTCAGGAGATGACTGTTGATGATGGTTGCACAATTTAAATACACCTAATTACCGAACTATATGTACACTTAAGAAGGGTTGACTGGCTGGAAGATTTATCGAAGTGGTAGAGCGCTTGCCTAGCATGTATGAGTTAGATTCCCAGCACCTGAAACGCAGAAAAAAAGTTGAGAGAGTAAGTAGGTGCACCACAATATAAAAAACCAAAGCAAAAACAAAACAAAACAACCACCTATGACCGAACAACAAACCACGTCAATCAAAAATAGCAGGGAACGAAGAACCTTAGACCTGTCAGCCCTACCGTATTAACCACCGGGCTGTGGGAACTGGGAACTGAGGGCGGGGCAAGGGCGGAACTCCGGGGCCGGGCGAGGCTACAGGGAAGCCAGCAGGTTAAAGCGGATCACCCCAAGGGCTGGGCTGCCACTGCGCAGGCGCACATAATGCTGCCAGGCGCCTTTGAATCGTGCCCGGAAGTGACGCTTGTAACGCTGAGACAGGTCCGGGGACTACTAGTGTGTATCGCCTAGGTGAGCAGGGCAGGGGCCGGGGTATTCCTACCGCTATGAACTGCACCATCGAGAAGATCCTGACCGACGCCAAGACACTGCTGGAGAGGCTGCGGGAGCACGATGCGGCCGCCGAGTCTCTGGTGGATCAGTCGGCCGCGCTGCACCGACGAGTGGCCGCTATGCGGGAGGCGGGGACAGCGCTTCCGGACCAGGTCAGGCAGAGGGTAGAGGTCCTGGGCCCTCGGGTTCTAGGCACTGGAAGGGAGGAGAGATGTGAAATGGGGTCTCGGCTTGGAGTTTATTCCCGATTCCAGAGGGTTGTGGTGAGAACTGTTGCGGGATCGGGGTCAGGATCCCTGCACTGGAGCCCTGACTACTGCTTTCAGTTGCATCTGCCACTGTACTGTTTATCGTGAGTTTAGTGTGTCTGTTTGTCCAGTATCAAGAAGATGCGTCCGACGTGAAGGACATGTCAAGATACAAGCCTCACATTCTGCTGTCTCAAGAGAACACACAGATTAGAGACTTGCAGCAGGAAAACAGAGGTTAGTAGAGTCTTTTTGTGTATTTAAGATATTTCTCATACCCAGTAAAAGTTAATAAAAGTGATTATCCTATGTTTATTTACAGGTCAGTGCTCTTATTAGGAGGTTTAATTACTAACAATAAAGTTTTCCAGATTACCCTTTTTAAGGTCATCTACTGATTTTTTTTTTCTTTGAATGTGTATTAGCAGCTTATCAAAGAGATGCTTACACAGTTGAATTATTAGACGCCTTTTTTTTTCCTTTAGGGTATACCAAACGGAGACTTGCATTTAAAAAGAGTTTATATTCTCAGAGCCTTAAAATTTAATACTTACGTATTCATTAGAATAAACACTGAAGTTTAAGATTCATAATGCAGTTAAGAAAGAGCTTCAGAGATGTTAAACAATTGGCTTATGAGTACTAAGGAACTAAGTCACAGAAATCAAACCATGTCTTCTGATTACACATCCCGTGTTATTTCTACCATACTATGCTGCCTATGCCTACAAAGTTTTTGTTTTTTGTTTTTAGTTTTTTGCAATTGATTCCAGGGGTACTCTACTACTGAGCCACATCCCCAACCCTTTTTATTTATTTTGAAACAGAGCCTCATTAAGTTGTTCAGGTTGGCTTCAGATTTTTGATTCTCCTTCCTCAGCCTCCCAAGTCACTGAGACTACAGGTGTGGGGCTATACACTCAGCCTAGAAAGTTATTTTTTATGTACACTGTAGCTGTTCAATTTTGTAGACTTAAACACTAAATCCGATCTTACTGTATTATGGTTCACATTGTAGTGCAATTTCTGTGCATAGATTGAATGAGCTTTTGTTTTCCCCATTAACATGTTTTATGTTTTTCAAGATAACTTTTTAAAATGAACTTTTAAAAATCATAATGCATGTGATCATGTTCTTCATATATGTAGGAAACATAATTTTTTCACTTTGAATTAATAATATCTCATGGAGTATGGTAAAATTCTGTTAAGAGTTTAACCTTGGGATCTATCTCTCAGACATCACTACCAAGGTATTTTATTTTTTTGTTAGAACTGTGGGTTTCTTTGGAGGAACATCAGGATGCTTTGGAACTCATCATGAGCAAATACCGGAAACAGATGTTACAGTTAATGGTTGCAAAAAAAGCAGTGGATGCTGAACCAGTTCTGAAAGCTCATCAGTCTCACTCTGCAGTAAGAAATCTGATAAATAAATTATAAATGAACTGAATTGAAATTTTGAGACTGTTTCACTTTGTATACTTGTTTTGGAGAAAAGAAAGTACACATTCATTGTTTATTTTGTTGTGGCTTTGTAAAGATATGGCTAAAAAGAAGGGGAGAAGAGGCTGCTCAAGTCCTTTTGAGTGGGACTATGTTCCCCTCTGCCCTCAGCAAGATCTCTTTTCAAGATGTTAGCTTTTCCATGAACTATAATGCAAGTTGGTGTTGAAGGTGCTCAGTAAACACTTGGTTGCTTGTAATTGGTACATTTGACTGAATTGTAAGCTTCATGGTTTAGGGGAGCATACTTTCGTATTTTTTCCTTAACCTAGTTTCTGGCACATATCAGGCAGTCAGTAAAGCTGTGTTAAACTAATCATACTATGTTACTTGAGAGAAATGTTTTGTTTTGTCTTAAATGACAGTTTTTATACATTAGTCAGTGCCGATTTAATTTGAGAGACCCAGTATTGTGCTTTTTTTTTTTTTTTCTGGTGGTGCTGAGGATTGAACCCAGGGTCTTGTGCATGTAAGGCAGGAACTCTACCAACTGAGCTACTTTCCAGCGCCACCCCCCCCCCCAGTATTATTGTTCTATTTGTACAGTTTTCATAGTTGTCATTGTGCATTCACATGTACTATATCATTTAATCCTGGATTAATAGATTGGAACCTCACTATTTGCTTCAGGGGAAGTGTACTGAAAGATGTTCGTTGAATGCATTTTCAAAGTTTTAGGGAACGGGGATATTTTAGATATTTGAGTACCTTTCATCTGGAAGGAAAAAAAACTATTTTCTGTGGTCCAGAGAAAAGTTTAAAAAGATAAGAATTTAGCTCATATGGAAATACTTTCTAAGAGATATAGCCAAAGATAAAGGAACCTCATACTGTGATAAACTTCCTGCCAATAAAAGTATTCAAACTTGAGTTAAATAGCTACCTAAAGTCCAACTTCCAGTGGGTAGTTAGACTACAACTGATCTGTTGAGTGTGAATACCACAAACTCACTTTATTATGGCTCAGATTATTGGTTAATTCTGGTGCAACTTCTGTGGCATAGATTGAATGAAGGTTTTTGTTTTTCCTATTAACACATTTTTATATTTCAAGGTAACTGGTTTGGTTTTCCTTTTCTTTTTTTTTTTTTTTTTTTTAGTTGTAGATGGACAAAATATTTTTATTTGTTTTTATTTTTATGTGGTGCTAAGGATCGAACCCAGTGCCTCACACATGCTAGGCAAGTGCTCTACTACTGAGCCACAATGCCAGCCCGAACTGTTTTTTTTTTTTTTTTAATTAACTTTTAAAAATCAGTTCATACGATCCTGATCTTCATATGTATAGGAAATATCACTTTTTCACTTTTTCCCTTAATATTTTCACAGGAAATTGAAAGTCAGATTGATAGAATCTGTGAAATGGGAGAAGTGATGAGGAAAGCAGTTCAGGTGGATGATGATCAGTTTTGTAAAATTCAAGAAAAACTAGCACAATTGGAGGTAAGATTGTTGCTTTTTTAGGTTCACAATTTTTCGCAGTTTTTGTAGAGTCTAGACATTAACCTGTCATGGCAATGTATTTATGTTTTCTGTGTGTGCTCACAATTTAAAATTCTTCCTTCATACTCTTTTCAGGAAAGGAAATGTAGTAAACTATAATCAATGAAAATATCAACTATGTATTAACTGGAAGTTGAGATATTATCACATTGGGAGAGTAGAGAGTGGAAGGAACAGGTTACATGAGCTGAAATCCCTCATTTACTATAATAAGTCAAATAATGTCTAAAATTGAGGGAATGGTAGGGCAAGGGATGTAGTTGAGTGGCACGGCACGTGCTAAGCATCCACAAGTCCCTGGGTTTACTTCCCAGAACCATTAATGGGGGGTGGGGGGTGCGGGAGCAGGGGAAGTGGCAGTATACCCATATTATTTAGAATTATGGAAATAAAAATCAAAATAGATAAAAAGAGTTAACGGTGAACAAAGCCAAGAAACTTCTATTTATTTTATAGATTTAACTTTTTAAAGCTATTTCCATGTAATATTTTGATTAAAATAGAAATATATTACAAAAGAAATACCTAGTGTAATAGTGTTCCCAGAAAAACATATTAGTAGATGGTTTGGTGCTTGCTGCAAGGAGTTATCATGGGCCCTTTGAGAAATAGCAGAAAGCCAGGATGCTAAGGCAGAAGGATCTGGAGTTCTAAGCCAGCCTGGGCAACATAGAGAGATCAAGTCTGAAAAAACAAACAAAAAAGAAATACTAGAGAAAAAAGTCCAAAGTCCAATGGAAAGAACAAGACTAGTATTTACATAATATGAAATGTTATTTAAGTGCCAGAAGAAACATACCAAAGTATCTTTATGTGGTCTCAAAGATTTATTGACCATGGGCTCTGACCTCTTTGGCGAACCCGGAAATACTATGGTTTACCAGAATTCCTGCAGAGAAAATAATGATGAAACACCATCTGGAAATCAAAGGGAGTGACAGGTCCCAAGTAGGAATTAGGAGTTAGTTACTAGAGCTAACTTCTTTTTATTATCCCTGATTTGTCTCAGTTAAAGAAATAGCCCTAAGGAAATGTGGGACAAGTTTACTTAATAATTCCAGTGGAAAAAACATGGCCCCAAAAGTACTACATCCAAGTTGTCTGAATGTGGACACGTTTTGGGAGCTTTGTGATCCCCAGTATCTTCATCTTAAATAAAATATGCATGTAGGCAATGATATCTACACTAAAGATTGTTAGGAAATAACATATATAATGCACTGACATGGTACCTAGGTACAGCTCAGTAAGTGGTTTATCGTCTCTCCCTTTGTATCCATTTTCTAAAACTATTGGATATCTAGGAAAGGAAATTAATCAAGAGTGAAGAGATCATTAAGAATTTGAAAAACAGTAGTAAAACTTGTGGGAACCAAGAAGAGTATGACAAACAGTAAATTCCTCAAGTGAAAAGGAACCTTGTGTTGTTCCTTCTATATAGTCCTAACACTTGGTATATAAAAATTACTCCACAAATTTTAAATGAGTAAATAACTAGTATTTAGGAAATTCTTATCTAGTGATTTGTTTCCTTAAAACTAAAATGTTTTCTGTTCCTGGCCCCAAACAATGTGTTCTGACACAGTTTGACAATAAAAATACAGGAAATAAGATAAACCCGCCTTTTTTTTTTTTTTCCCCAGCTTGAAAATAAAGAACTTCGAGAATTATTGTCCATCAGCAGTGAGTCTCTTCAGGTCAGAAAGGAAAATTCAGTGGACACTGCTTCCCAACCCATCAAATAACTGAACTTCCAAGTGATGGCTGAAGATTATCTAGGAAGGAATTTATCTTTCCATCTAAGTATTATCCATCCAGTGTTTTGCCTCAGACTTGATTTAGTGTTGATTATAGATATCAGGCAGCAGTTTAGAATTCCCAGTCAATGTTGGTGTCCACAAAATAGTTTTGGGGTATATTGTGAGAATATACACTGAGTTTCACCATTCCTTCCTCTGTAAGACTACCTTTAATTTTCATTTCTGGGACCTCGATTTATATAAACTGTTTTCTGTTCTTTTGTTTTCATATCTCTGAAACTTTGAGCATTTTATTATAAGCCAGTTCTCTTATTTTATAGAGGATCATAAGATACACTGCTAAAGATTTTTAAGAGATTTAACTTTTTACATCTTTTTGGCATAAACCTGAATTTTTTTTTTTTTTTTTTCCATTTGACAGAAGTAACATGATTTCACAGAACTAGATTGGCAGATTCTCTGATTTGTAATGTCATTCACCTGTGAAGTTTTGATTCTCTCTGGTGCTAGGAGTTGGCACTTTGTGGTTGGGTGTCTTTACTCTTAATTTGAGAGAACTTATTGCTAAATCCCAGGAAATGTACTTGAAACATTTAGCCAACTATTTCCCCCCAGTAGTAGTATAGTCATCATTTCATTCAACGAATGCTGAGGAATCTGTCCTGTGTATGTGTACTCACATGAGTACTTTGTTCAAATGCCAAAAGTAATTTATTTATTTAATTAAGTGTAAGTAGTCAGTTTTCGATTTTGTCCTGCTAGGAAACCTTCAACTTAGGTAGTTTACCTAGGGTAAAGAGCATATCATGTATTTATCCATATCATAGTTCTAGATACTATATTTAATTTATATAACTTTTATTTTATAGTTAAGAACCACCATCTACTGGATGTCATTATTAGCACTGGTATTTGGCTCTTTTGACATATTTTTTTTTACATCAATGCATTTTTATTATTTAAGGAAAGTCATTACATTTATAATGCTATATAGGCAACAACAAAGCGACTTTGAGATTCAAATTCTGGGTAGTCAGCCAGGTTCACTCATTAACTCATTCCCATTTCAGTTCAGTCACATTTCGGATCTCAAAATTACTTTGTTATACTAGCCATTTAAGTTTTTCCAATAATGGTTCAAATAAACCTGTCAATATTATCTAGTATCCTTAGACATCCTAGTACTGCATGGGAGAGACATGATATTAAAGAGTTATTTGCTAGCGCTCTGTGTGATGTAAAGTTTCTTTTGTACTGCTCTGAAGAACTCCAGATAAAACAAACAAAAGCTCCCCAAAATGTCTTAAAGGCATCTGATTCCAGTAATGACAATGTACTGCTTAGATTACTGGGTATTAATGAACAGTTATATGTCATTTTAGAATTTGTCAAATTTCTTTTCACTGTCCTGCAGAGAATTTAAATGGAAAACACTTCTACCCCCCAAGTGTGTGCATTTTTATTTCATTTTCCAAGAGTAAGTAAACTTTTAGTCCAGCTATTTGCCTTGAAGTAAGCCCTAAGTATGTGTCACAAGTCCATTTGGGAAGCAGGTATCCTATACCTTTTGTCAGCTGCCATGCCCAAGTTTTCTTGAAAATGATAAAGTTCTCAAGTAATTCATTAAGATATAATATAGCATTCTTTGCCTTTTGTTCTTTTAGAGCAGTTTATGAAATTCTTTACATCACAGATTTCAGGGTAAATCTATATGTTAACCTTTTCTCCTAGGAAATCAAAATCTTGATGTCCAGTGACTCAGGAGGCTGAGGTGGTAGGATTGCAAGTTTGAGGCCCCAAGTAACTTAGCGAAAACCTGTCTCAAAATAAAAAGGGCTAGGTATGTAGCTCAGTGGTAAGATGCCCCTGGATTTAATCCCTAGCAACCCTCCTGCCCCAACCCCCCCAAAAAAGGAAAAAAGTTTGTTTTATGAGTGAAGAGTTTTCAGTGCCCTACATATAAATTCTGGCTGGTGGTAATGTTATAAAGGTAATGTATAGTTAGAAAATTAAATGGAGAAGGAATGCTCTTCTTCACTTTCAGTGAATATTAATGTCTTGCCGTAGATGGAGGAACTTGACTGGTTTGCAAAATTTCAGTATAAAATTATTATTTCTAGTGAAAACCTATTTGAGAATATTAGCCGGTTTTAATAGTTTCTAATTAGCCAGGAGTGGTGGTGTACTCCTGTAATCTCAGGGACTCAGGAGCCTGAAGCAGGAGGATCACAAGTTTAAGGTCATGCTGGGCAACTTAGTGACACTCTATCTCAAAAAATAAAAAGGGCTTGGGATGTTGCTCAGTGGTAGGGGGCCACTGGGTTCAGTCCCCAGTATTGGGGGGGGGGACCATAAATATCCTATAATTAGCATAATATATTCAACAAGGTAACTCTACAAATAGTATCTTATATTAATAAGATGTTAATTACAGCAGTTCCTTACGCATATTCAAACATTGAAGGTATATTTCAATATTCCTCAACATGTGGTTCACTAACCTGCTAAAATAAAAATTTGAGGATAGGATCCAGGAATTTGTATTTTAATAATCATCCAGAGTAACCTGCAAGGATACAAGTTTAAGAATATGTAGACTGTATGCAAAGCATTAGAAGTTGTGAGTTGAAAAAGACCTTGACATTTTCTGATGAATGGTAAGGGGAAAAAAACAAGGGTCATATAATGCAACATGATAAATCCATATAAATATGTATAGGAAACAGGAAAGACTATTTAAACTTGAGACAACAAATGGCTAGGAGGAGAACCAGAAAACCTTGGTGTCACAGAAGCAAAGTATAGATGGTACTGCCAATAATGATTACCATTTATTGAATGCTTTATTATGTGTCCGGTAGTGATATATAATCTCCACGTAAACTGTACCCCACTTTACAGCTACTCAGGTACAAGGAACTTATTATTTATCTAGACTGGAACCAAGATGCAGCCTAGGCACTTACTCTTAAATACATTTCTTTGTTTTATTCAAATACATTCTTAACCACCAAGTTAAGATGCCTTTAAGTGCCAAATATTGTACAGTCGTGGTTCTCTCTCTCTTTTTTTTTTTTAGTTGTAGATGGATACAATACCTTTATTTTTTATTTGTTTTATTATTGATTGAACCCAGGGCCTCACACATGCTAGGCAAGTGCTCTACCACTGAGCCACATCCCCTGCCCAATTTGTGGTTCTTGATTAGCAAAATCAATTTTTATTAATAGGGCAAAAGAAACTCAACTGCTTATACATTAGAAAATACCATTAATTCAATAAATGGAGTCAACTAAAGAGATACAACTATTATCTGTTTTTCAGAATGGCATAGTTGAGAGTACCTGTGCTTGTAACTGAAAGGATCAATGCTTAATTGGTGGTTCGATTGTAACTGAAAGGATCAATGCTTAATTGGTGGTTCTTACCACATACAGGAAGGGTGCAACTCTGTCTTTCCAATCTGCCTCTCTTTTGTTGCTTTTCATCCTTCGTGCTATTTTCTTGTAGTTGTTAGAAAGTTGCTGCTGTAGCAGATGTCATGCCCATGTTCAAGACAGGAGAAAACTACAGGAAATGGCTGGTATTACCTATGTATACATCCCCTTTTATGAGAAAAACAAAGCTCTTCCAGAAATTCCAAAGGATTTCCCATTGCCATATTTGCCTGGCCTGTTAAGTGGCTATTTCTAACTGCAAAGGAGAATGGGTACGTAGCTGGCCCAAGTAAAATGAGTATTCCAGCAGCGCCAACCTATAATCCCAGTGGTTTGGGAGCCTGAAGTAGGACAATTGTGAGTTCAAAGCCAGCCTCAGCAAAAGCAAGGCACTAAGCAACTCAGTGAGACCCTGTCTCTAAATAAAATACAAATTAGGGATGTGGCTCAGTGGTCAAGAGCTCTTGAATTCAATCTCCAATACCCCCCTCAAAAAAGAGACTATTCCATTAACAGAAATTATATTGAGAAAATAATGCCTTTCACATTGTCAGGTCCTTTCAAGTATTAGTTAAAGGAATGTATTGATGTTAACTATCCAAAAGAATGGGCTGTGGCAAACATCTGTCATTTCCTTCTTGGCTGCCTAATATCCTAACTCATATGTTGAGGGAATCCCTCACCAAATGAGGTAGAGAATTTGAAAGTGTCAGATATATGTTTTCACGGCCTACTTTACAGGTAGGGAATATCTACCTTAAACTTTAAAGTTAGTGGTACAGTGAAATAGGAAATTATGGCAGAAAATGTTGACCAACAACAATGGCTATTACATTAGCTCCACAGAAGAGAAGCAAGATTGGTTTTTCTTCAGGGACAAAAACTCAATATCTAGTGTCAACAGATTGGTACTGTAATCTGCAGTGTCTGCCTACCAGTAGAGACTAGAGTTCACTGAAGCAATTCTCAGATATCACTGGAGACTAGAACTTCCAATTCTGGTTTCCTGATTGGCCTAGAGATCTTCCTCACTTTTTTTCTCTCTCCCAGGGCCGAGGACTGAACTCAGGACCTGGCGCTTGCTAGGCAAGCAAGTGCTCTGCCACTGAGCTAAATCTCTAACCCCAGACTAAAGATCTTAAGAATTACTTTTAATAAAATTATTTTTTTAAATTGACCCAAATTTGCCTATAAATAAGAATACTGACTGATATAAAAAATGAAGAGTTTTAAAAACAACTATGCACATGTGGTTTTGATTGATACTTCATAAATTATTTCACAATATATATATATAGTTGAGGGGGCAAGCACGGGAGATTGAACTCAGGGGCACTCTACCACTAAGTCACATCCCCAGCCCTATTCGATCCTCCTGCCTCAGCCTCCAGAGCTGGTGGGATTATGGGCATGTAACACTACTCCCCACTTGCATTTATATTTTAATGTATTTGACACATTAAAGAGTAAATGTGGGTCTGGGGTTGTGACTCAGAGGCAGAACGCTCCCCTAGCATGTGTGAGACACTGGGTTCAATCCTCAGCACCACCTAAAAATAAAATACAGGTATTGTGTCCATCTACAACTAAAAAATAAATATTAAAAAAAAAAGTAAATGTAAGCCAATTGCAGTGGCATACATATAATCCCAGTGATTCTAGAAGTTTAAAAGAAGGAGGTTTGAAAGTTCAAGGCCAGCCTCATCATTTTGGCAAGGTCCTTAGCAATTTATGGAGATCATGTCTCAAAATTTAGAAAAAGGCTGGGAGTGGTGGCACATACCTGTAATCCCTCAGAGGCTGCGGCAGGAGGATCAAAAGTTCTAGGCCAGCCTCAGCAATTTAATGAGACCCTATTTCAAAATAAAAAGGGCTGGGGATATATAACTCGGGTAAAGTGCCCTTGGGTGCAATCTCAGTACCCCCTCCAATAAAAGGGTAAATTAAGCATGAAAGTAATTTATCAATCATAAGAATTCACTGCCTAAATTAAAAATTAAAACATTACTAATGCTGGGGCTGAGGGCATAGCTAAGTGGTAGAGAGCTTGCCTAATGTGCATGAGGCTGTAGGTTTCATCCCCAGCATCACAAAACAAAATGAAAATAAAACATTACCAGTGCTTTGCATTTATCTGTTTGAGTTCTTCTCTCTCCCCATCCTGTACTCCGTCTCTTTAATAATTTTAATCACAGGTAAAATGTCTTAAATATATGCATCCCTGAAGTGACTTATTAGTTTTCTTCCTTTTTGAACTTTACAGAAATTGTATCATACTATATGTAATCTAAGGATTTTTTTCATTGTTTCTGAGATGCACACATTTTGTTGTATATTGCTATCATTCATTTTCATTGATGTATATTTCATTGTATGATTATACAGTGTATTGTTAAGAAATACATATATATGGGCTGGAGGTACAGCTCAGTGGTAGAGTGCATGCCTAGCATGTACAAGGCGCTGAGTTCAATCCCCAGCACTTAAAAGAAAAAGAATGGGGAAAAAAACAATAATAATAAAATACATTTTTTTTCAAAATCTGTACTAATATCTGGCTAATTTTTAATTCCCCCTCAAACTATCTCATTTATATTGATCTCATTTAATGAGAAGCAGTCATATTTCATATTTTGCAGTTATTTCATTGGTTTGTGTCATGGCAACTTTCAGAATGAATGAAGGAATGTTATCCAGTAATGCGGTGGAAAAAAGACCACTGCTTTTTCTTTTGTCACTCTCCAAGAAGGCTAAACAGATTGGGTCCTATTGGGCACATGCCTGTAAT